CCTCCAGGAAGTCGATCTTGGTTGCTCTTCAAAATAACCCCCCAAAACGTCGTGATGTAATTAGAATAAGTTTTTTGGTAATGACTTCACTAAAACAAACCGCGATACTCGTGCAACATAAAGTGGTGAAACACTTGAAAATAAAGGAGTTACAAGAGGTTGACAGTTAAATGGCTTTTGGCGGGAACGTTCTTCGTACTCGGTCAAAACACAAGAAATATTGCGCTGTCTAATTATAACGAACGAGAAATTTCGAGAATGTATTAAGAGTTTTAGGATAATTCTTGACTAAACTTGTTGGTGATGATTCACTAAGGAGGGAAAGGAGAGAGTAGAAGAAGAGAAAAGAAAAAGAGAGGGATGGGAGGGGAGGGAAAGAGAAGGGAAAGAAGAGTAGAAAACAGAAAAGGAGATGAGAGGAACGAAGGAATTAAAGGGAAGGATTAAGGTTAGGGGGAATTCTTATCAAAAGCTAAGATTTTCTCGACCTAAGTCAACAAACAACGTTATCATTTAAATCTTATTTTAGACTTTTTCGTACTGCGGAAAGGAAAACAGCCAAGCAGCGCACGCGAATGCAACTGAATAGGAGTCCGAAAATGAAAATGAAATAGTTAAGCTTTGAGTTTAATTTTAGTGGAGAAGGTGAATTTGAGAAGAAGCTGGATGTTTGATACTAAAGGCTATAGCAAGAACCTCATGTGCCTGATTGATACTAGAGGTTTTCTAGCAGTTTGATGGTCGATACAAGAGGTTAGCAAGAAACTGACTGATCGATACAAGAGGGTTTCTAGCAGTTGGATGGTCGATACAAGAGGNTACAAGAGGTTAGCAAGAAACTGACTGATCGATACAAGAGGGTTTCTAGCAGTTGGATGGTCGATACAAGAGGTTAGCAAGAAACTGACTGATCGTTACAAGAGGGTTTCTAGCAGTTGGATGGTCGATACAAGAGGGTTTCTAGCAGTTGGATGGTCGATACAAGAGGNTAGCAAGAAACTGACTGATCGTTACAAGAGGGTTTCTAGCAGTTGGATGGTCGATACAAGAGGGTTTCTAGCAGTTGGATGGTCGATACAAGAGGGTTTCTAGCAGTTGGACAGATCGGTACAAGAGGATTTCTAGCAGTTGGATGGTCGGTACTAGAGGTTTGATACAAGTTGGCCGGTCGTTATTCAAAGGTCTATTAAAAGGTTAGTTTCCTCTTGAAGTGTTTTTCTACTTTATTCGTTAGTATTCAAGAATATTTTGGCGCGAATGAACATTTTACCTAAATTGATTAAAACTAAAAATCGGCTTTTTTTGATATTCTGTTTTCTAGGAATAAATAAATACCCTTTTCAATTAACAACTTAAATGCAATTTAATATTAATCTGAAAAAAAATTGGAACAAAACTATAATGTTAAATCGTATATTTTGGCTACACCATTAGAAAGGTATAAAAAGATGTATTAATATTTTTTTATTATGAGTAATTTACTAACTAGCACCTAGCAGGGTACATAAACGCCCTAAAATAACAAGGTTTAAAAACAAGCTATTAGAACTCAATTTGAGAATTCTGTCAGTTCGAATAGATAAAAGCACAGACAATAAGACTCTTAGACTTTTTAAAAAGCCGTCTCTAATTTTCTAAGGATTTTGAAGCAATTGRTTGTAGACAATTTGGCGAGCAATACAAATGTGTTTTCAGGCGTGCTTTGCTCTTGTTTCCCAAAAAAACACCACATTTTTGTTTTCCAGCTGTCGTCTTAATGATAAGAAAGAACAATACTCAAGGGAATGACACAAGGTCTGGTATGGGAAAATAAAAAGTTCAAGGACTCTCTAATACTTATWAAAAAAAAAGTTTTGAAATCTTGGCATTTGAACCAATAATTTTGCACTCCACCATACCCCCTAGGGTAATCTTTTGGACCTACACATTTTAAAGCATTCTTCCAGGGGGAACGAGGTTCAGTATACTCACCCTTCAATGTGCTTTTCGATTTTTGTCTTCTACGGTATCGTTTTGGTATCCTTCTCCCTTTCCACGGCTTTACTTATGTTTTTAGTTGTTTTTAGTGACACTGAACAGTAGCAAAACACAGCAGATCCAGACGTGTTTCTAACACATCGTTTAAAACCTCTTTATTCGACCAAGACACTGAATAGACCCACATCAAAGGAATTAAATAACCTCTATACAGCGACCACCTATGCATTGATAAAACCTCTTTCAATTCGACCAAGATTTTGAATAGACCCACATTAAAGGAATTGAATAACCTCTATACAGCGACCACCTATGCATTGATAAAACCTCTTTCAATTCGACCAAGATTTTGAATAGACCCACATCAAAGGAATTAAATAACCTCCATACAGTGACCACCTATGTATTGATAAAACCTCTTTAACTCGGATACCTTGTTAATGCCACCAAGATAGTGGGACTTAAAGTCTCATCACGTAACAGGAACTACTAATCTCCATTAATCGACAATCTAGACCTTGATTAAAATATATCTCTACATCGACCATCTTTCTAAAACGACCAAGTGTCGAAATTCCTAATCTCGCAATAATCTAGGCGTTTCCCCTCAAAGGAAATCAAATATTATAGCTAAAAGAAAAAAAAAGAAAAAAAATCTTTGGACACAAAAATATATTACTCCACATCAATAGCAGACAGCTGCGAGCTAGTAACCACAGCTGGCTCGTCATCTCGTCAAATCATTTGTTTATAAAGAAAATCCAGTGATCTAACATAGAGAGGAAGTGTTAACTATTGATAGCATGACGTATTCAGAAAACTATGACGGTGTCTTTTGAACGTCTTCTGTTTTAATAACTTCACAAACCATTAGTAAATCGTTATAATTCAATATTATGTCATCTGTACTTCAAAATCGTTCCTATGGTAACATGACTCACATACAGATGATCTTTAGGTCGTTGTCTAGGAAAGATTGCTGTTGTTGTGTTGTTTGTCGTTCCTAACTGTGTCACGTGACGTATGATGGTGCCGGGGAGGGTGTGTGTGTGTGTGGAAGGGGGGGGGGGGGGGGGTAAGGGGGAATCGCCTTAAATTTCTTACCCACAGCTCGTAATCAGCGTTGAGGAGTGTGTGCGCTCGTTTAGCTATTTTTTTCTATCGATCGATTCCAGTGCGAGAGTGAGAGAACCTAACACTATTTCCAATTAAAAATCTCTCCAAGATCCGACTGAATTCGCGGTTACAAGCGAATGAAATAAACGTATTTACGCGCTCAGTTGTAATTGCTAAAGGTAATGCACGGATTAACGAATTAAAATGCCTTTTACTGTTGTTGAGCCACTAGACCAAAGGAAGGGCAATCTTAAGGTCTTATCTCTATACAATCGAGTTTGAAAATCTTTCTTTAATTTGGAGCAAAGTGCTGATATCTTCCCTCCAAACACCGGATAGATTTCCATGACGTAACAAGTCTTTTAGCGAATAGAAATTAATTAACACGTATTTTTCAAAGATTCCAATAAATATATATTAAGGAAATCCCAGCAACTTTTTTACTTTTTCTGCCGCCACGTTCTAATCAATTARAATAGAGAATACGTACACGCAACGACCTTCATTTGAACAACTTCTTGTTTGTTCATAACCTAGGCCGGTTCTTACACAACGACCGACACACAAATTTTCCTGGGAGTTTCAAGCTAGTCATTCAATTTTCAAGTGTCCATTTCCTCCTCGTCGCTTACAGTCATTGAGTAAAACTGCCAAAACAAAATAGAATAGCTACATCTCCTGTCACGGATCTTAAGCTCGAATCTTAGGCTCTTGGGTTTCATCGTGAACGATAACTATACTTTTTTCATTTTCGTTGGATTATAACTATGAAGTATTATTTCGCTTTTTTTTTTCACGAAAACAAATATTGAAATTTCGCTGCAGGAGAATGAATTAGTTTGAGTTCGTTACCAAGCCAACGGACTATTTTCTGTTGATATTCAGCAAAGTGTAGCGATAGACAAATTCATTAAAAATGTTTTCAGAATGAAAATTAAAAAAAACAATAATTTATATACTAATATAGGTAAAAAAAATCGGATCGAGCGAAAGTAAATTGAATTTTGTGCGAAAAATTGCAAACATGCCAAATTATAGTTTAAACTATTGTGCAAGCTCTTTCGATGATAATTTTCAAATATGAATAAATTTGGATAACATTTTGAACTCGTGTCTTGTGGAAAARGAGTGTTACATTATAAAAAGTTGAAAGCAAGTTCCTCGAAGTGTTTAAGAGAAAAACTTCTCGCTTTTAGTGTACTTYAGTTCCACGTATGTACAAGTGTGCGAAAATTCGGTCTTTCGTATCTAAGGTTTCAAACGATGTTTATCTTTTGTGTTGAACTTCGCGTATTATATGTTGGTTGCTAAAACAGTTTCCGGGATAAACTGCCTGACCTGTACGAGGATTGAAAGCAGGCGAATTTGTCTGTTTATCACAGTAATTTATACGGTAAACAATAGCAGAGCAGAATATCCGCATGACAGAAACATGCAAGTAATTTTATTCATTTATCTTTCGTCGCCAGCGAACAGTTCAATAAATTTTATCGCAATGTATTTCAGTTTTTTGCTCAAACGAAACGAAAAAATTTTCCTCTCATTTAGAAAAAAAATTATTATTGACTTAAAGTAGTGTCTTCGGATTACATCCTATTGTTATAACCAAGACAACATACAAAGTTCAAAACTGATCAAAAATTCGAAAAAAGGCATGACAAAGGGGTGCCCTAGGGTGCTGTGATGTCATGAGGTGAATTCCTTGTGCAAGCCAGTTCACTTTCCCTCTGACTGTAAAAACAATACCTTCTGAAACAAAAAAAAAATCCAGGCCAATATAATGACAGAGGGTTATTTTTTTGAACTGTGGTTTGAAGCGAAGAGAGTTTTAATCGAAAGCTCGCGTAATTAGAGAGCTGGTTTAATCATTCTATTGTAAGACGCTTGGAGTTTGCGGTGCGCATGCGCCAGATAGACAGGTGCTGTGCGGGCAGACGTACAGAGATATATTGGTATATTGTCAAAGAAACCATCTAGCCAAACAACTGACCCAACAACTCTTGAACGCTCGAATGAGCAGTTGACGAGAAATCGGCGCAAAAAGAAGCGCTTTTTTTCGACCAGAATGAAGAAACGGCAATCGAAAGACAAGACACATCGACATCGATAATTTACCCAGAAGAAGAATATCTTGGGAAAATTTAGCAAGGATGGCTATTAGCTCCAATACGAAAAAACTGTTACTGCGAATTGTGTTATTCCTCGTCTATCTTTTGATGGGTGCAGGTATATTTTACGGTATAGAAAACCATGACGAGAGTAAACGAAGGAAAAATAATAATTTTCATGAGAAATACAAGAACTTCACAGACAGATATAAAATCAGTAAGGAAGACATGGTTGCGTTCATTAAAGGATTGGAAGAAGCAATGAAACTAGGATACAATGCAACTTCTGGCTTCAACGGCTCGTCTTCTGGCGGTTGGCCCAAGCACTATCGTTGGCAATTTATGAACGCATTTCATTTTGCTGGTAATGTTGTTACAACTATAGGTAAGTGAGGAGGTTTATATCAGAAAATCTGGAGATTTACAGCTTTGCTGGATTCATAATCGTACGAATACGAGCCGAATAACCCTTAGCAACCATTGGGAATACAAGTCGGAGCGAGTGAGAGCCGAGATGCGAGTGTTGTGTCTCTATCATTGGAGAAAAATCATTGAACACAAATACAGAATCTATAATATGAACAAAAGTTTTACTCTAAAATGGTCTTCATTTGTGGTTAGTTAGGGGGGTATGAGCCAAGCAAGGTTTCAATAAGCGGTTTCTTTAGGCAAATTCGGCCTGAACCGTAGCTTACACCTGGCTGGCTTACAATAAGTTGTTAAATATAAATGATATCCTGGAGAATCAATAGCAATTCCAACGAAAAGGATTTCCAATTTATGTCCTAATGTGTTCGCAAAAAAAGGGACCTTTATCCAGCCTCTTTATAAGCTATAATCGAAAAAATCGTAGCATAAATAATGTGTTATTTTCGTCTGAAGAAGGCTTTTATAAGGAAACGTTGAATGAAACAAGACTAAACTAGTTATCACGTTTTTAATTCTCTTAGAAGCAAGCTAAGGTAGAGACAATTGGCCGGCATCGCGTTAGGAATAAGAATAAAATGTTCAACGGTTGGGGAAACAGATTCGATTTATAATCAAGTAACGTTGTCAAGATGATGCAAAACTCTGCCAAATATATTCTAATCCGCAGGTGATAGAAGATTTGTGCCGAAATAAAACCCGAATATATGTTGATTTCGAATTATGTAAGTCATTCGCTAGAATTACAAACCAGATTTTATTTTCTTTTTTCTTCTGTGAGAAGATTACTGGGTTGCGTAGAGCCACTATAACCATATCACGACAAATCTGCTGATCCTCAATAGCATTTCCGATTTGGAATAGCCCGTCTATTATCCAATAGGCAATTCGCGTTTAGGGGGAATGTTTTCTATGTACGAGTTAAATGTCTTCTTATGTATGTATTCTTGTAATTTGGCGCTGTCGGAAGAATCACGTTTTTTTAAAAAAAATATAGAAAACACGTTCCTTGTTTATCACTTTACACCTTATAACCAAAAGAAAGAAAAAAAGATAAGAGAAATTTAGATAGACATAAGAGAGAAAAACACAGTTGTACAAAAGCTGTTTTTTGGAAAAAAAGAATATTGGAAAACTGAAACGCTTTCACGAAGCAATTGATGTACCAGAAAATGGCCGCTGTTTGTCAATATTGGCCGAGTCACAGACTCAAAAAGTTGTTTGAGAGTGAAGTCTGGGTTTATAATCACCCTATTCCTGAGACAGAAAACGAGAAGAAAAATCTAGAACGAGAGTTAGCGATCATTAATATTACACGATGTTCCATTGTCACGCGGGGAACGCGCGCTACTTATAAACAATGACAGGCAGATTCGATGATAAATCGAAACAGTTTGGAATTAAATTCTTGGATGGGTGAAAGAGCCAAAAGATGTCGATAGTTTATTGACATTGTATGATCTGGTAATTTATCCTTGGATTAGAAGGCAGCCCATATTGGCTTAGATATTCTTGTACCGAGTGAGTTAGCTAGCCTAGACCGAAGATAAACCATTTATATGCATGTGTTATCATTGAGTGTTCTCCAGGAAGTAAGAGTTATGTTTTGAAATAACAAAATACAACCATCCATCGATCGCAGATTGCCATCTATCAACTTTCTCATTTCTCAGTCAAGGCTCTAAAATTATATCAATTCGATGGAATTTTTTTTACCGTAAAGTGCTCAATAAAACTACTAGTAATGGTTGTTATAGCGCCCTCGCCGCCCTTAAAACTCGGAGCAACAAATCCCGACAAAATTTGGACTATTTTTCACAAGCCAATCAACCCACTATTTGTTAATAACAGCAAATTTTGATCCGACACTTATGAAGATCTGCCAAGCAGTTCTCAAAACGACAAATTTATAAATTATGATCTAAAAAGCCGTACGGAATGACTGACCGTAATTACCATCCCAAAAGATTTTATATTACAATTTCAGTATCCAAAGATAAAAATAAAAATAGGTTGGTATAGATATTCTAATTCTTTAAACACTTATTCGAATTGAACTCAAATTGAGATATCGAATAGTGATAACAGGATTGATTTTATTCTTCAGCGCCGAGTGTGAGGGTTTGAGTTACATTTTAATCTAATACGAGAGGAGAACTTCCTCCGCAGTCCAGACAAGCGAAGAAAAAAGTAAAGAATAGAGAACAATAACAAAACGATCGAAGATTTTCATCTTCAAGAATATTTTGTGCGACCGTTTGTATGGCTAACCAATTAAACAATGTACACCAAGGATGTTTTATAATCCTTTCTTGAGCCATTCTTCTTTTGATGGTATTTGAAGTACAAATCTCTTAGCTCGTTTCTCACAACAGCTTAGTTTTAATGTTCAATTTTAGGTCTGAACTTGTGTCTAAGAAGTTAGAAGCACGCTCCCTCGTTCTCTCTCTCTCGCTCTCTTCATTTCTTCGTTTCTTTCTAAATTCGTCTTTAAAAAAACATTTGAAATTACTGGGTCGATCGGCTATAATCGAAACTGATAAGAATATAAAAAGCGATAGGTCAATTGCTTTCAAATCATTTAAAATATAATTTAAATCGTTTCATAAAATGGAAAATATAATAGACCAAAAACCGAAAAAAATGAACCACAGATCGCTACAACCTTTCTCACTGGCGGTAACAACTGACAAACGCATTAACTAGCTAAAAATATTCCATATGCTGCTATATTTACAAGTCATAAAATCTCAATTCATATAAAGATTGTGCTGTCGAATCTACTGATGTTACTATGACGACCAATGTTCCTAATAATATTATATCGTATTTTTTTATGTTTAATATTTTCATGGCGAATTGATTCAGTTTGTCTATGTCTTGGTCTGGACATTGAGCTTTTAAAAATTCAAATGCGGAGGATAAAAGAATTAATATTAATGTCTAAAACGAAATTCTACTTATAAATCCCAAAATGATTATTGTATAGATTACAGTAGTTAGAAAAAATGAAATCAATCAGTATTCATCGCTAAAGGAAAAAAATGAATTGTTTTCTAAATCAAGGAAAAGTGGATTATTGCCCGCTCTATCTATATCACTACATGTCAACAACAACAAAAGTATAATCCCACAATTACTGAAGAAAATRAAAATTATTCAACTAGATTCACGACAATATCCTTTTGAAATAGAAAATAATACGAGTACCGTCATCTTTATAGGTGCTCGTTAATAGTAATTGTTCCACCTTGGGAAATTTTCACACGTTTTTATAAGATACCATTGACAGACTATTAGAAGTTTTTCCTAATTGCAGAAAAAAATGGCTTCGAAAAATTTCACTATTACAGAATGAATTATTAATATTTCAAGTTTTCCTGATGGAATATTCCAAAGAACGGAACATAACAGCTATTTTACTATGTCGGGAAACAGGATTTAGTTATATTCTTCTGATACCGACACCGAACGAATTAAATTACTCATTTACAACATTTTCTTTTTCTAACATGAAATTATTCTCGCAAGCTTCGTTTTAGCTGACGTTCTTTTCAATATCCTAATATCCAAGGCGTCAAGCATTAAATATAGGTTGTCTAAAACATCTCTAAGAGTGCCAAGAATATTTTTGATATGATACCAAAGCCAAAACACAAACTGAACCTCACTAAATCATGTAAAAGGGAACGTATGTACAACGAAAATTAGATTGACATCTTCTAAATTCAACGCAAATGGAGGCTTGAATTGTCTAGTGTTAATATTATTGACAAAAATGATGACAAACGTACAGCTTCCTTTAAGATATATTAATATTTTTGTATTGCGCTTTTGTTTAAACTGTAAAAGCGGTGCAAGGACCCCTGATCTGGGCCTGGCCATGTTACTCAGACGATATTAAACGTTTTTTTTAAGTTGGAGTGAGACACGTTATAAAGTATAAAATACGAATTTATTTATCTATGCTTATATGAATGAGTGGAACTTTGTTTAAGGAGGGTACGATAAACAACCTCTGGGTTGATCTAACCGAGTCATGCAGGGCACGTTCGGCTAATTCACAGGATCGAATTGGAATTTAGCTTGTTAGGTTGGGGATTGTAGAAGGAGTATAAACAGCGAACCTGGAGAAAAAMCTTCGCTCACTTGTTATGCTGAGTCCAGAAATCGAACACGAGACAAGGAGAGGCAAGTGCACTTGACTACAGCACCCTTGAACAGCTCTCATTTCAGCTAACAGTTCTGAATTCGACTTAAATTCCTGCTAAACTAATATACGTATGTTTTTGTTTTTCAGGATATGGTCACATAGCTCCAGTCACGTTATTGGGAAGATTCCTTTGTATTTTATATGCTCTTTTTGGAATTCCATTGACCGGTCTTACGCTTCGATCGATCGGTAACAGAATTTCCGAGTTTATCGCTGCCACAATCAAGACACTAGATCGTAAAGTGTACAACCGTGAAACCGAAAAAATCGAAATCAAGACTGCATTTTTGGCATTCGCAGCACTATGGTTTATAATTCTCGTTCCCGCTGCCGGGTTTTCATTAATAGAGGACTGGGCGTACCAAGACGCCGTGTACTTTTGTTTTATAACTTTAACGACCATTGGCTTTGGGGACTTTGTCCCTGGCCAGGAAAGAGAAAAGTATGAAGAAGGTGTTGAAGCATTATTAGAGTTTCTTAATCTGTTTTATATGGTTCTTGGGCTGGCTGTAATGTCTGGCGTGATTGTTTCGATTAGCGGAGTTATAGAAGAGAAGACGAAGAACTTCGGTGTTGTGGACCCAATGGAAGCACTTCGAAACATCCGAGTGGAAAACTTGAACTCGCGGGCGCTCAAAAAGCTAGGTTATAAGATGGGTCCTGGCATGGGCCCACCAGGAGCGCCTGGCCCGCCAAACCACGATGATCCGACTATAAATAGCCGGCTCCCACCAAAATTAGCGCCAAAAGCGATAGCCGTGGTCGCGGCCTCGGGCAATGATCGAACTATAGAACGAAGCCGTTCGGCGGAAGCGATGGATTTTCAAGGGCCAACGCCCGTTATGTATTTAAATAAAAGAAATGGACCATCGTATGAGAACAAAACGACAAGCCCGACTGGATCAAAAATGTTTAATAATAAAATAGCACCAACTACAGTATCGGAAAACCAAACAATTTCGAACAGCCCGAGTAGAAAGCTCGATTTACGGAAACGATCCGAACACAATTCTACGAGTACGGAGAGTGCCGAAGAGGCACGAGCGAGCGACGAGGATAGCGAAGTAAAAACAATTAACGAGCTCAATGAACTCAGAGAAGAGGCGGAGCTAGATGCTTGTGAGCCTGTCAATCATGAACCGAAGAATAACTTGGTGAGTAAATCAATATCTATGCCAACAATGCCTTGCGCGCTGGGTAATGCTGCATGACGTCACAGCGGACAGCCAGCCATCTCGGTATTTGTTGCACAATCGTCAGTTACATGCGCCTTTGTTTTTATCTGATTTGTTGCATAACTCGATTTATAGCAAATTTCTAAGATAAAATTAGCCGAGGACGATAGTAGGGGGCGGGGGCTGAAATGTAGCTTATTTTTAAGATATCCTCCCAAGACAAACAGCTAGCAGTTCCCATACTTAATTGCATGTACGTAAAACAAACTGCGGCTCATGTAAGAACAATTCTTGGAGATGGATTTTCGAAAGGATAAAACTAGATCCCCTTAGGAGTGTTGACCAGAAYGATTAGTGACAGTCTGTCGTCGAGATCAATGAACAAAACTAAACTGACAAACCAAATGAAATTCTGTTTTTGCAACTAGACTAAACAATACTTTGATTACTAAGTTCTTAACTATATTACTCTGACTTTCATTTACCCTGGGCCATCAGTACCATTTTGCTTCAGGTGGTTTTGATCACGTGACTGACCACGTGATGTTTTTTGTTTTAGTATAAGATAAGTCCTAAACAACATTATTCGTTAAAAATCTCTAAGGATTATCATACACGTCACGTGATAGATCACGTGACTGACCACGTGATGCCTTTTGTTTTAGTATAAGATAAGTCCTAAACAACATTATTCGTTAAAAATCTCTAAGGATTATCATACACGTCACGTGATAGGTCACGTGACTGACCACGTGATGCCTTTTGTTTTAGTATAAGATAAGTCCTAAACTACATTATTCGTTAAACATCTCTAAATATTGTCAGACACGTCACGTGATAGATCACGTGACTGACCACATGATGCTTAGATGACTTGGAGAAAAAGACGCCAAGTCGGCCTGGGTGGCGTCCAACTTAATACATTTTTCTGCCGTACTCTTCGTCGTACTCCGCCGAGTCATAAGATAAACATGAAAAAAAGCGTTATTTTGGTGGTCATTTCAAAAAGTACTGCAAACATGAATGAATTTCGGCCAATTTKCCAACTGAGGCCGCCATTTTGAGTCTGGTTTAATGTCAAGTTTACGTCGTAACAATCTTAAGAATTTCAATCAACATGTAAAAGAAAAAAAGAAAAAGTTACGACATGGAAAAAGGATTATTTGGAGGAAGTTTTGCTAGTTCGCTTCGTGTTTTCTAACCTCAAACACAGAAARCAAATATTTGAACAGAATTTGTTAGAAATACAAACAACAAGTCGTGTGGACCATCGCGTTGTATTCTTTACGTGTTGCCTTAATTATTTTCTAATGTGCATTTTGAATCTCCCGTAACGGGACCAGCCATCATCGTCAGCTTACTTTGGCGCCCGCCACGCCGATAGCAACATTTAACGAYCACGTATTCTCTTTCTTGTTTGTCAAAACACTTTTATTTTTCGGTGCYATCTCTAAGGTATTCTTCTAGAATAAGTCATTAAAAGACGGTATAACCCACAAGTCTGATTCTTAATAAATAAAAGCATTAAGATCCATTTGTCGCTGGGAGAAGCGTCGACAATAAACTATGTTAAAAATGCTGTGCCATCGAGAATCGTCATGGCAACCGGTTCAATATTACACCAACCATGCATCGATCCACCCTTCTAGAATCCGCCGGCAAGTGTCCTTTTTCCTTCTACCATTAATTATTGTTAATGAAAACCATACATTTTTTTTACAATTTAATTATTTTTTCCTAATTCATCCATCCATCCCTCTATCTT